ACACATAGATGATATAAAGTAATAGGTTTCCAGATTAAATACCAGTTTATTCAAATTCCTCACAATTAAAATTAAATCTTATCCTAATCAGAGAGTCAAATTTCTTATTTTTGTTACAGTTTCAATTTACTTTAGACACAGGTGAATTCTTCAATTTGTCGTTTTCTGTTGTTACATTTAAATTCATGATTTACAAATCAATTACATGACCCTTTTAATTTAACGGGTACCCGTTCTGTAATTTCTAAGAGGTTAAAGAAAACATATCTGCAATTCAACATCTGTTCAAAGGAAGATTACACAAACAAATTACACTATTACATACTAATTCATATGAGGACCTTAAAGTTTGTCTCGGTAAATTAAGAAGGGGAAAAAGGAAGCAATTCAGTTTCGGTAGACTTAATTTAAGATTCAATTTAAGGTAAAGTTCCAATTTCCAAAAGTTCGAAGGAAAATTGATAACAAAGCACTTATCTGTTGTTTTGACGACTTGAAACGCACCCGGAAAGGTCTCGGGCTGGCCTTGCATTCTGGGAGAAATCAGGGGATTAAAAGTCCACCATAATTCCTGGAAAATTGCATTCCGTAAGGGGAACACAGGCGTCTAAGGAGTCTCACGCTTTCGGTGTCACTGGACGCAATTCGGGATAACACCGACTCCATTGTTTTTCAGCAACATAATCCGCTCGCTCAGCATCGCAGAAAACAAGCCCTAGAACGAGCACCCGAGCAGAATATTCAAGCTCGCAGTACGGATGTCGCGTATAAAATCTCACGTTGGCCGGGGTGGAACTTGGCCAATAATTTTTGGAATTTAATACTCGCTGAACAGAAAAAAACTCAATACTCGCTGGATCATTTTTTTTTCTTTTCGACAGCAAGGCGACGGCCGGATAGTGTCCGCCGTGATCCGCCTGAATCGCCACTTATTCATCCCCAGAAACTTAACAAATCCTTCAGCTTCCAAAGTCCGACAAAAAGTTTTAATCTTGAAAGTCTTAAATCCTTCAGCAAAACTAGTTCAAAGTCGGGCAAAAAGTAACGTCCAAAAGTCTTTAAATCTTTCAGCAGAACTCGTAGACTTATCAATTTCGCCTCTTAGCCAAAACGCGGCCGGGGAGCATATTTGCCGCTCCCCGCCGGAAAACATCTCTCCTCGTAAATTACATCTTTTCTATCGCTCAACCCAAGAGCAAGTTTCAAGAGTAACGTCCAAAAGTAAGTTCCGCAAGCCAGTGATTCAAACTCGAATTTTCTTCGTCTCCTTCACAAACGCGGGCTCCCACTATGGCTTCAATTATCGCCCCCTTAATTTTGGCAAAATTTGCGTTTTCAACCCCTGAATGCGGAAATAAGGGTGATCGCGCATGCGCGCCCTTCTTCACTTAGCCAACAACCGGACCCTCAATCGCCCAAAACCTGAATGACTTACAATGAAAATTAAGTGGCAACCTCTGACCCTTCTGTCACGTACTTCCTGTCCTAAGGTCAACTGCACAATGAAATTTCTTCTAGAACATTCTAAAGGACAAAGCGCGCGAAATCATCGCTTAGCAAAATTGCCTCCTTTTCCCTGCTTCTTTTCACAATGAATCAAAGCTTGGACAAAAATTGCAAAAAAAGGAAAATAAATAATATTCTTTAAACTAAATAATATTCGCAGAAGCATCTGTTTTTCTTCAAAATTAAAGCATTAAAATAAATAATTCAGAATCAAATAAAATTAAGATTTCCTTAAATCAGATAATTCTCTACACAACAGTAGGTGTTATACGCACTTCAATTAAAAGATCTTTAACGAGCATTCCAATCATAGTGCAAGAGAAGGATCGGTACATATATGCGAAAAAGGGATACATTTACAATAAATGAATATTAGAAGAATAAATGTAATGATAAATATTAGAAGGTGAAAATGAAATTTATAAAATGCGATTCGCCTTTCCTTTTCTATTAACTAATTATTTATAGCAAATTATTAATGAGCTAGGATAAAATATAACTTTCATCAAAATCGGCGTATAAACAAAGATTTTGGTAGTAAGTAGAATTCATGTATTTTTCTGTGTGACATCTGTGCATACCATGTGTGATATATTTCTGCATATAAGAACAGATCAAAATAAAGCTGTCGTTATAGACAGGATGACTAAAGATTAATGCAAATTGTAAATGCGACATTGACTTTTGATTCTAATTGTAACCACTACGTCTTTTTTATAACATCTGAACTTGAATAAATAATCCAAAATTGAAAAGGTAATTCAAATTTTATCTTATTAAACAAAACGTAGTTATAAACGTTACAGATTTCTCAGAAGTTTCTGCCGTATTCATTGAAATAGAATACAGTGGTACCTCGACATACGAGTTTAATTCGTTCCGTAACCTTGCTCGTATGTCAAATTGCTCGTATCTCAAAGCAATTTTCCCCATTGAAATTAATTGAAATGCCATTAATACGTTCCAGCTCCCAAAACAACACCTCAGTCGTTTTTGTTAAGTGTTTTTGAATAAGGAAAATGCATTTACAAGAAGAAACATTTATTTAAAAATAACAAATACATATTCTATAAAAGCATAATTAAAAGAAAAAGTGCAGTGCTTACGGAAGCGCTTAATTTTCGTCACTGGTCTACTCTTTTTTCGTCACGCTTTGCTCATTTTCATCTGTGGATCGTTTAAAAAAACTGTCCAAAGGAGGTTTGTTTCTCCCTCCCTTTCAGGATATTGCAGAAATGAGTTAGGCAAGTTTCGTTGAACAACTCCGATGCACGACCAGTAGCAACTTTTTAGGGATGATTTTTATCCACGAACTCTACAACTTTTTTCCACATTCCCAAGATCTCCTTTATATCTCTTGTAGGGATAACGTCCTCCATCTCTGGCTTCTCTTCAAAACTAATTTTCGTTGAACCACCGTATGCTGCTGCAAATGTAGATCGTGTATCTCCTCGGTTGTCAGCTAATGAGACTGTTCCTCGACGAGTTCGTTCACATCTCTCCTCATCTATCTCTAGACCCATGGATTTTCTCAAAGAAACAAGTCTAGTCTGAGGTGGGGGAAAATGTTAGACGCTGCACACGACACCAACATGCGCGGGTCGTGTGCAGCGGTGTAATGTGCGATTCCTCGTATCTTAAATCTTGCTCTCATCTCAAAGCAAAATATCGCTCACTCGGCGGCTCGTATCTCAAAACACTGGTATATTAGGGCACTCGTATATTGAGGTACCACTGTATACTACATGTAAGAATAACGTTAATAGTTTTCTCTTCTCACTTAGAAATGAGCAGAAATAGTATATTAACTGACTAACTTTAATTAAGGAGAAAAAGCGCATTAAACTTAGATTAGCTTTTCTTAAATCTGTCTTCTAATTTATCTGAAAAACTTTCATGGCAGACATAATATTTTTTTATTTAAAAACACAAATGCAAAACTTCTCGTGTCCTACAAAGTAAGTAAATAACTTAGTAATACAAGGGAGATCTGATACAACAATAATACATAATATCTAGTTATAAATAGAATAAGAAATATATATAATAACACGAATACTACTAGAATAAAAATATTAATGTACCGTAAATAATAAAAACTATGATAATACTACTACTAGAACGATATAATACAGATAATAATTAATAATAAAGATAATATAGTAATAATAATAATAATAATAATAAAATACATAGAATAATACTAATACAAGGAAGATATGATACAACAATAATACAATACATCTTCTCGTATCGAATAGTGCTTAGGGAAGCCTGACTCCTAAAGGCCCGGGTTCGAATCCTGGAGAAGGCATGGATGTAAAAATTGTCTGTGCCTTCATAGGAAGCAAAGGTGGGCCACCTGTTAGGTGCCTCCATAATAAAGAGACCACCACATCTGGCCTTAGGAGTGGCCGATGCCGGCATCGGCAAGCGCCCGCCATTGGAAAAAAAAATAATACAATACATTAATACTCAACATAATCTACATATATAAGAAACAATAGTAATACAGTATCACTAAAAGGGTAATAATGCAATAATATACAAAAATAATAATACTAAAAGTTTAAACAACAAATGAAGTTGCGTAAGAAAGCAAAAGCTTCAAAACTCCTGATAAGCTTAGAGAAAACAAGAGGCCAGCAAATAGAGAGATGCCTTAAACTCACTTTAGAAGTAGCTCTGGCACTGGCATATAACCTGAAGTGCAATAAGACATGTTCTACGTTTTCTACAGCATCGCCGCAAGCACTGAGTCCATTGGTCACGATAATTAAAACGAATTAAGTAATTTCTACCAGTTAAAATCCGAGTTTGTTTGTTTATAGTCCGGATGAACAGAAAAACATTTTATGTTTAGGCCGCCCAGACATTAGAGTGGCTAAGGGAGCCGACTGCGGTACCGAAGGACCCGGGTTCGAATCCTGGAGAAGACATGGATGTAACTGTCCGTCCCACCATAGGAGGCAATGGCGGCTAACTGTTAGGTGCTTCCATGATAAAATAGCCACCATTTATGGCGGGTGGCCAATGCTGAAATAAGGCAAGTGCCCGCCATTGTATAAAAAAATGAATGTGTTTACATTTGAAACGGTGAAAAACTGCTGTGCCTTCGAGGAAGCAAGGTACTATAAATTGCAGGTATAATTTGGGTTTTATTTTTTCATAGTCTGCTGGATGAGTTTTTTAAAAATTTTTACTCATCTACAGTTTTGTTTAAATAGGAATAGTATTTTCCCCCAACCTAATAAATATAAGAATAATTAATTGTATTCTTGAATCAAGATCATTTAATATATCAACTTTTTGTTCAAGCAGAGGAGTGCCTAAATGAGATCTGGTATCATTTTTCTTTACATTTCGAAAATAGTATTTCTGTTTAAATATTAAATTTTAATCTTATATTTCGGTTGACAAAATTTAATATAAAGACTTAACTATTTTGTGTCTTTTGGCTGATTTGTTTCAACAAAATTATGTATATTTTCTAGATACGTTCCTTTGCATTTTGCGATATGGTTGACTGCGATAATTCTGAGCACAGCATCTTTGGTCTCTGTAGATGATCCTATCGACATAAATGATTATTGGGAAGATCCTAGAATCTGTGCCTTAACTCTTCATAGGACATACTTTACTGAAGGTTTTGGGGCATTAAGCAGGTAAGATAAGCTTATTCTTGAGTACTGTATAACAATTATTACATTTATATTAGATCTTTTCAAATATTCGGATTAACTCTGTAATTTATTGGACTTTTTTCTTGCATATTTTATTGGGCTGTTTTTTGATTAACATTTTATAGTCAAATTAAGCAAATAAAATATTTTTATTGACAGCATATTATTCGTCCTAAAGGTCTATTAGTCTTGAAACACGATTTTGCATTGTTTTATGTTTCATTCGATTCTATTACCATTCGGAAAAACGTAAGACATTCTTTCATAACTAATCTGTTTGTTATTAATTAACATTATTGCTTTTAAAGTATTTAAAAGCAATAGATGCAGTTCTTATGAATATGTTTTTTTTTACTTTTTAATCTAATTGATTTAAGAAAAAAATATTTTTAAACTATTAAAAAAAATTCACGATATATTTTGTAGAGACATTAGGTTATTTCGAAGCAAGAGATGAAAAATGAGCAATGCCCTCGCTGGCACATGAACCACAAACATCTCGGATTCGCGTCGAGCGTGCTGAACACAACACCACGAAGGCATGCTAAGGAGGTGGGAGAAATACATTATATTCCCCCTCCTTTTAAAGGGCGACTAGGGTTTTAGGGGATCCAATCGCCAAATCCTGGTGGTGAAGAAAGATCATTCACCACCTTTTAGTTCGGGCGCCACTGTAGAGACTTTAGGTTATTTCGAAGCAAGATAGATGAAAAATTAGCAGTGCCCTTGCAGGGTCTCAAACCACGGACCACTCGAATTCGCGTCGAGTGTGCTAACCACTACACCACGAAGGCATGCTAAGATGGCGAGAGAAATATCTTATAACTTAAGAAAAACATTAAATAATTTTTATAACATTAAGTTGGACATTTTTTCACTTTAAATATAATGAAGATACTCGTATATAACGTTCCCATGTTCATCAAAATGCATAATCATCTAATATTCAATAAACTATATCCTTCTTCCATCTCTATTGATAATCTTTAAATATAAAACATATTAAAATTTATGATGAGCCTTTTAATATTTCCCTCTGTTTTTCATACTTCTCGAATGCTATTCTTTATTGCTAAGGACAGGTACATTGCATTTTAAAACAAAATATGAGTTTTGATTTATATCTGAAGACCCTGATATCAGAAGTTTACATTCTTTCGAAAATTTAGCTCTAACTTATCTTTATGCAATTTGTTAAAAATATTAATTTCACTACCTAAATAACACGTAGTTAAAGTCACTAATTAAAATCCCAGACGGGATCTTTAAGAATAGAACAACGAACTGACGGGTGAGAAAATGACTTAAAAAAGAACGTGGAAAATTAGAGCAATTTTATAATTCAGAGAAGGATGAAATGATTGACAACAAGTTGTTATGTTTCTTTCAATAGCTGGATGTCTTTTATGAGAGGAAGAAAGAATTTTTATAAATCCTCTTTTCATTGTCTTTGTGAGAAAATCCTCTGCCAACAGCAATCAATTTCAAATAATTAAGTTCTATGAGTAAGAAAATATTAAGAAGAATAGACGTTAAGAGCAGGGAATATGTAAGAATATTTACTTTTCTAACACTACAAATTTTTCAAATCAATTCATTTTGTCAGCCATAGCAAAATCCATTAGATTTACGCTTACAATACATTAAAAATTTAGAGCAGTTTTTAATTTTATTCAAAATATTGTGATATATTCTAAGCGTATTTAAAAAAGTACTAATTTTTGTCGATCAGCAGTTATGCAAACATTAATTTTATTTTCTTTAAATATCATTAAATGCAAGTCGTCGTACCATTTTTATTTTTAATTAATCGAAAATTTACTTTTTAGTGCCTTTCCTTGGCAGGCTAACATGAAAATGGATGCGTGCATTAAATATGAGGATGTCAATGTAGCGCTTGCCAAGGCTAAGAAACTACTAGGTAAGTGAAGTTTAAGTATTATTTTGGCATTAGAAAGATCTATAACTTTATTTCTATATTTTTAATCACTACTGTATTACTCTGCCATGCCATTTATTACCCATAAGATAGTTGATATTCCACAATAACTTTTATAGCAACTACGACAGTTTTACTTATTTTTAACTTTACGTACAGTCATGGATATGCGTTGATATTCCATGATAGCAGGTCAAGTTAACTCGGTTATTTGAATATGGTAAAGCACACAGAGGCTATCTGCTTAAGAGAAGGGATACATTCTTAGAGGACTTTTCTAAGAGAAATTGGCTCGTATTCCTGTTACACATGGGGAAAAACACCTCCTCGCAGTGTTTTTCATTGGACGGAGCAGGAGTTAAAAATACAGAGGGGAAAAACTACAGAAACCAATCATGCAGCCAACTCGTTCGCTTGGAATCAAACTCAGGTCGAATTGCCAGTATTCAGCTGTCTTAACCACTCGGCCACTGGTGAGGTTTCACGACTGTAGGATCTTTTATTTATCATTCATATTGCTTAGCAAATTGCCCTTTCTTATATGTGTTACCATTTGATATTCCAAAAAAAAAAAACTTTAATTTTTCTTTAAATTAAAAATATTACATATCTTGTAGAGACATTAGGTTAATTTAAAAAGCCGGAGAGATGAAAAATTAGCAACCGCCTGCGTCGAGAATCGAAACACGGACCTCTGGATACCGGTCCAGCGTGCAGAACCACTACACCACGAAGGCACGCTAGGAAAGTGGGAGAAATACCTTATAATCATAAGAAACTAAACTGTTTAAAAACAATATGTGAGTTTCTCAATAATGCATGTTTTAATTTTGTTTTATTAAGAGCATATTTCATTGAAATAGCTTGTTATGTATCTAAATTTATTTGGTTCATAACATATAAGTCGTATTGTTCATAAAACTTTTCTGTATTATTATAGTAATAAAAGATGTTTCTGACACCATGAATGTGCATCGGTACAGATAAATGTTTCGTGCTCCATCTCTTAGTGATTTATTAAATTCAACGTTAGAAAACGTAACGTAGTACAGCAATACAGTAATCAAATTTTGTATATCACAGATGAAACTTAATGTTTAAAATGTCATTCAGAAAAGATTTACTTTTATTTATTTACATGTTTTAAAATAAATATGACGTTCGTATGAGTTAATGTAGAATATTTCTTCAAGAAGATAAAACCTAACAATGTCTAATTAAGAAAAATATTAATAATCAAGAGACATAATAAAAATTAAATAGGACATAGTCCTCATTCAGGATGTATAAAAACTATTACGTTTTAGCCAAGAAATTCATTCATTGTTTGAAAGAGCAGACAACGCTCTCGAAATAATGTGTTTATGCCAACAAAAGTTTAAACATTTATCTAGAAACTTGTATTTTTATGTTATAGGCTAAAGAGTATTGCATCACATTACAGTAATAAAAAGCAAGGGTTTTTTTCCTCAAAAGGAAACTTCGGGCTAAGTTCTGTTATTCTAATATTCGATTACTGCACTCCGGTTCAAAATTAAAAGAATTTGAAGATTAAGTTTCTTTTTACGAAATGTTCTGAACCAAAAGTAATGCATACGACGCGGAAGGATTATGCAAATACTCAGAATCGAATATGTAAACATACAGGTGCGTGTATAGAAAGATGTGATTGTAGAGGGATATAAGCGCACGAGGGCTTTTCGGCGATTTTTGTGCTGGAACACGTTTACAATATTCGCCGTGTTTCTCACAAGAGCTGGGTAAATTTTAGAAGGTATTAGGTAAAATGAGTAGCCATGAATGGATTGGTGACGGAATGAGATGGTGACATGTCAGTAGACAGAAGGCAGGTCAATCACAAGCGCAGGTGGCTAGAGACCCTGTATCGTATGAAATTTGTAGAAACAAGTGTCAGGGCACTGGATCCATATCAAGAAGATCTAATCGAGGTTGACCAAGATCCATATCGACGAATGAGGATCGTTATTTGACACTTTCAGTATGGCGATACAGGACTGCAACAGTTCACATTTCTCACGTGAGCTATATGCGCCCACTAAAACCTATGTTTCCCAGCTACAGTTGCCCGAAGGTTTCATGAGTAGGTTTGTATGCCGGAAGACCTGCTCACTCACTGCAGTGCGTTTAAGATGGTGCAGACAACATGCGCCTTGGACCAGCCTTTAGAGAAGAAATTGTGCATTGTGCGTTTTACAGATGTCTCGAGATTCAGTCTAGACGCTGATTCTCGACGTACCAGTGTCTGGAGAGTGCATAGAACACTATGACACCCTCCTCACTAGGGAAAAGATCGTTATGGTGTTGGGTGGAAGTACAATGGCTCGGGTAGGAATTATGTTGGTTGATCGCACACCCCTGGATACGTTTGATGAAGTCTTCCTGACTGCTGTGACGTAAAGAGAACAGAGTCCTATGTTTGACTTCTTAGGGGTCCAGTTGATCTTAGTTGATCTTAGGGGTCCAGTTGGGTTTCTGTTAATGGACAACAATGCTCGTCCATATAGGGCTCAAGTGATCGGCGATTACCTAATAATTGAGGATATTCGCCACATGGTTGGCTAGCCAGATTACCCGATTTTAAACCATTTGTGAAATTAAAAACAATCATGAGCATGTCTGAGACGCTCTTGCTTCATCTTGACGTTACTTCATCTCACCATCTCCATCCAAGAATCAATCATCCCAGAATTGAAAACTACCTAGTTGAAACAATGAGGTAGACTGCCAAAAATACTCCTCAACTGACTTCTATTCAATATGCCCTAAGTTCGCTTGCCCTGTCTGTCTGTGATAAGGGAATATACCCCATATTAGACTAATTTTTCTTTCGATATCACATCGTGGATTTTGGACATCGCTACACTATGAGCTTTACTGATAAACATGCGTACGTAAAATGACTTTTGAATGATACGTCTCTTTCTCTGTTATAAATGTATATTTATATTTGATTTCATCAAACTCTGACAGTTAGTTTTTCCGAAATTCGACATAATATGCGCATTTCCTTAATTTTGCAGATGAGTATACATAGTGTAAAATCTGTAAAATATCCCTGACGTGTAAAAAAACATTGAAGAATTTGTGCAAGTTTAATAATTTCAAGGTTTACGCTGGGTTTTAAGCTTTAATGACTTGAGGTGAAATTGATTTGAATTAATTGAATTAATTTGAAATTGATTAAGGGCTCTTAATCTGGGATGCAACTTGTTTGAATAATACTTGTAACTGAAAAATGCAAACTAGTTTATTCGTTTACTGATTCTTTGGCATATTTTATTTATCAAGATGCACTTATTAATACACTTATTACTTTAAACATTAACATCTCGTTATCGTACAGCTTTCTTCACAGAGTGCTAACAGGAAACAAGATTTACATGCGTATTGCTACATATTTTACACTTTTTTTGTACTTAGATATGATCTTTTATGTTTCTTCTGTACAGGTTATATTCATCCTATTACGAAAGGTCTAGATCCTAGCCCACAGGATATAGATGTTTCTGCAAACCTTATTATAGAGACTACCAAAATATTGACTGAGTGGTTCGTATACTATTTTTCTTCATTTTTGCTTTTTCGAATATACTAGGATAGGTCTAGATTTATCAGTTCATAAGAGTAATTTTAAAATTTTAATATATATCTGCTTTCTTAAATTTTGATATTTCTAGTTTTTATTTTTCAGTAAAAATAGAGCAAAACAGAGAAAATTTATGAAAGATCTCCAAAGTATTTCATTTGTAAAGTTAAAAATCATTCATGATTATTCATGATTATTTGAGGATTATTACCTAACAATAAAATACTAAGTTTTATATCCTCTAAATTTGTCTATCGTAGTTTAATGAACTATCATCATATTTATATGTCACAAAATATTTCAAGTATATGTTGTGTTACGATATAATGATGATTTTGCAACTATTGTTGCTCGTAATTTCCTCGTGATAACCTGTTTCGGTAGATATAGGGAATAAAAAATTATTTCCATAAGCTGAAGTTATTAGCCTGTATGAAAGCAGATACTTTTATTTTTGTTGTTCTGCTAATAGAAAAATATTTCTTGCAAAAATTACAAGCATATATCATCAATTTCTATTTTGTGGAAGATTTACTAAATGAGGGAACTCACTTCACCAAATGTTCCAAAAAAGCCCCTCATTTAACAATTCAGGGTATTTTAATGATTTTCTAAATATTAATTAAGCATATTTTAAAACATGTTAGAATGCTGGGATTCTTGGAGAACTTGGGGAATCCTATGTAACCGCCTCTTCAATTTTCCACTACCTTTGTTAATAATGCATACATATAAAATATTTTGAAGATCAGATTATAAATGATTTTTTATTAAATGTCTAAAACCTTTAAAAACCGCTAAACGGAAGCTACAAATTTGACAAGAGTGGAATATGTTGACCTCTTCTGGCCACTTTCCCTGAATTCTATGTTTCAAGTTAGGGAAGTGGAATCCTTTATTTCGTCTATTTACCATCCATCCATTTATTCCTTTATTTCATCCGTATTCATCCTCTTCATCCAGATCACTGTTCAGAATCAAGTTTTACTTAATTTAAGAATTATAGTACAAAATATCAGGGAATAAAAATACTTCCTTAAAAAAGTGCTTCTCTTATTTTTACAAAACCGATTGTCATTTTTATTACTTTTATTTAAAAACTTCTGAGGTCACTTATCCAGAAGGAAGCACATAATAAACTGACGGACTAAAGATTAGCTATTACTGAATGCTTTAGTAGTATCAACTACTTCCACATCATAAAAATACAATAATAAGCAGAATTAGGAAATAATACATGATAGATGATAAAAGAGCATAGAAAAGAGCTTAAGGTTAATGTGTTCCTAAGTCACAAGGTCGTAAAATCTGAAGGCACGGTAAACGGGTTTTGGAATGTACTGGTCCACAGGAAGGAAATATACGCGGGAGAATTTAATCTGTAGGAATTAATGTGAAAATAATGTCGAACCGATTGATAATAATGCATTATGGTCTTTACTATTTATTGATAGTGAAGAATCTTAATTGAGTAGCAATTCTGAAGTTAATGGTAAGCAGTTGTAAGGAACAGAATTGGGAGATGGAGTCGCGGCACCCGTCACTCCTCAGATCTGGACTGGAACTGAATTTGACTTAACTTGACCATAAGATATTTGGAAGAACGATATTTGAAGCCCCATTTGCTTCGTGTAAAATTAGAAGTTTAATTTTGGAAATAATGAATAAAATGCAAAAATCTATATAATCTATAAGCCAATGAAGCTGGTGACAGAAAATTTCCGGCAGAGATATAAATTTAGGTTTCAAATGTTGTGCAAAAATTGCAAAATCAGAGAGAAGTTATGCTATTTCAAGGGGAGAAAAGATTAAATCATTATAGTGTTTTCTGGATAGGGATGTTTTTCGACAGGGAAAGAGAAGTGTGTTTGGGCTGAATTAATGAAATTTCACAGATACGTAAAAAATTTATTGCGTTACTTCTTTTGAGGTATCACCAATTTGGTGGCTGGAAGATTCTCTCGTTCTCTCGATCTTCTCGATCTCGAAGTCAGTTCTCTCGATCTCTTGATGGAGCTAGGAACTGAAGCGTCACAGGCAGGTAGGTTACATAGTACACGATTATCAATATGTTCGGCTTTGGGGAATAAATTTTGATTAAGTCTTTTGATTAGGACAGAAGCGGGTTTAATGTTTAAATCGGAATGAATCACGTCGCTAGCGATGTACCAAAATGCATTAAGAACTAGATGTAAGGTTTTACTTTGAAAGGCTTGGAGTTTCATAATAAATGGGCTCACAGTGTTACCCCATATGGTAAAAACATACATAAAGATTGGTAGTATTTCAATGCATAGCTTTGTTTTTAACTGAAAGATGGCCCTTTCGAGCTAATAATGTACATAATCGGGATATGATCCTTTTTTGCTTTTCTGAGCACAGACTCAGTATAAAAATGCCCGATCAATTTTAAATCGAGTATCATACGAACGTACTTCTAAGAATCACACCAGAGAACATAATCATTGAGAGATTTTAAATTAATTGTAGGGTACGAGAGGAAGAACCATGATAAAATCATGGTGGCACATTTAGCGACATTAATTTTGATTTTCAGGCAATAAGCCAGAATTCAAAACTTGAGAAATATCTCTGAATTTTTGGAACCAGATAATCCAGTTATAAATGTTGAGCAGGCATAGCCGTGTCGTCTACATAATGTGCTAGAACGACACTAGGTGACTTTTGATAGGTCATTAATAAAGCTGTTGAACAGCATAGATCTTAAAAGTGACCCTTGAGTTACGTCTGCAAAATCTGGATGGAAAACTTTTGAATAAACTGACTGTGTTCATTATTCGATAATACGTTTTTTTGGCAAAGAATTTTGATGTAAGATTTTATAAAGAAGGAATCTGATTTCATTTTTCTCAAGGAAATCCGATCTGAAAGAAAATTTGGGATTTAGATTCAAATTTTCTTTTTTTAAATGTATAAATTATGATTCATAAATGGGAAGTGGAAATTCGTGATATTGGTATGAAAATATTGATTGATATAAATTCACGGAAATGATTTTATTCTTCACCTTGCTTTTTCAGGTTCGACCTTACCCCCAAAGAAATCATTGAAGATTTACCTATGATCGACACCTCTAAAACCGACATTTGGGATATCTGCCCTGACCACTATAAGCCAACTCCTTGCACCGTGTCACGGTACCGATCGATGAGTGCCCATTGCAACAACATGAAACATACAATGTGGGGTGCTTCCAACACTGCTTTCGTCCGATTCATGTCACCTGTTTACGCTAATGGTCAGTCTTAAAATATCGTCCTTTGAATAGTTCTTCCCTCTTGCTTTGTATGCTTTATAATCTTGTAAATTGACTGAACGAGGTTTTTTATTCTACAGTGTAGTACCCATTCGTATCATGCATGCTCATACAGTTATGTATATTCATGCAGTTTTTAATTGTAGATATATAATTTATTTAAGCTGATTATTACCCAGTAATCATGTTTAATATACATGTATATATAGAGAACTATGTATGTATAGAATGTATGGGAAATCATTCAGTATTTTAAAACAACTATAGCCTCTCTTTAATTACACGTTTTGTTAAACTATTGCTATTATTCTCCTCTGTTTATGGAAAAGTCATGTCATGTGAGTCACATCTGCAATAACTGAGTTTGGCTATTAGGAGCTTAAATTTTGCATCAAGGCAATCTGTGAAAGAAACGAACGAAGTAAAAGCGTCTTGGAGAGAGTGACACGTGTTGTAGTGGAGATATAGTTAAAGCATCTTTCGAACTCTCAGCTCGAAGCCTAATTTTAAGCAAAAAATATGGTATCTTTGATTGATTCATTATCATGATCCAGCCGTCTTATTTTCCAGAAATCTTACCATTTGGCCCCATTGTTAGCTTTTATCAACATAGTTCTAAGGCATTAATGTATTATTAATATAATTCTAGAAGATCAATGTTCGTCGACAGTTTAGGCCCACCAGCGGCCGAGCGGTAAAGCCGCTGAACACTGGTAGCTCGGTCCGACGTTCGAATCCCGCCAACGGGTTGGCTGCATCGGCGTTTTCGTGGTTTTCCCCTTGTGATCATGATATAAGAGTCAGTTTTCCTTAGAAAGTCCTCCACGAAGGCATCACTCCCTTTAGGCAGATAGGTGCTTTGCCCTTTAGGTGCTTTGCCATAATTAAATAATCCAATCTAATCGTCGACAGTTCACGCTATCCAAACCGAAAAATCAGATTTTTTTTAAGACAGCACAAAATGCATCCTCCACCGCTTTCAGGAATAACAAGAGACTGAGGCACATGTATATTTTCCTATAATTTTACTTCGAAAATTACAAGTATTTAGTAATTTTTTGCATTTCATATAGAACTATAAGATATTCGCTACCGTCTTGAATATAACGGGATACTCTATTCAGTGACTAACTAATGACGTTTCCTTTGTCATTAGTTTTAAAATTTCACATAAATTCTAGAATTTTTTACTCATTCTTTAAACGAAACAGGACTTTTGTCACCTCTGACTGCAGATATTTTGTGAATAATTTTTAGCGCGTTGGAGATTCCTGCTCTCTTCATCTAGTCTGTACTATCTTCTTCAATAAAATGTTTTCTTTGGGCCACCTCAAGAGGATACATTTGCTGAGATGGGCTGCGAGTTGGCTTTTCATTGCGCTTGTGTCACTGGGTAAACATTGGAAATGGTTATTTGGTTTTCTAGATCAAATTGTGTCATCTGATAAATTTTTTAGTGGGCGAGGAGAGAGTTATATTGAAGAAAAACCGTACAACCTGAAGAAACTTCTAGCAATAATCTCCAGTGAGCTTAAGAAAGTTTTGCAAAAATATTTAAATTTTCTCATTAATTGATTTGGTATATTTGTCGGTGCAACTGGTACGAATGCAGCAGCAAACAGTACCAATTCGTTTAAGAAAATTCACGAAGAAGGCTGGAGCTTAGGGTAGAGTTATAAAATTGTTGCAAGCATTAGTGAATGGAATATTTAAAAGTATCAACTTAAAAATAATTTAAAGACAAAGGAATTATAACGATTTGAGACTAGAGAGTTATTTACTAGCTAATTTGCACAGAAATGAGTTAACTATATATATGATTATAAAATTTAGAACGATCCCACCAGCCGGGCCAAGCGATAAAGTCTCTGAATACTGGTAGTTTGATCCTAGGTTCGAAAACCACGAACGGGCTATCTGCATGGGCGTTTTAGTGGTTTTTTTTCCATGTACAACGTGTATACGAGGTAGGTTTCATTAGAAAGTCCTCCACAAAGGCATCCCCTCCTTTAGGCAGATAGCCCTTGAATGCTTTGCCATAACCGAATAAACTAAGCCATAAAATTTAGAATACCGGTTTCTAATACCGAAAAAATTTCATGAAATTCATATGAAAAATTTAAACGCCAACCTGTTTAGGCATTGATTAGTTGAATTCAAAATTTTCAGCACATAGTTTAATTCAAGGTTTTCGATCAATTAAAAGGAATTAGACATCACTGTATCAGAGTTTACTATAAACTACTTCTGATTGAATTAAATGGCAATGGTCAAAATTCTACTTTTTAAATAACTTCTCTTCCTTCTGTTGAATAATTTCCCATTTTTTACGCGGTGAACGTCTTTATAACATGCTTAGTAAGATCAGTAATTCGGCTAACACTTTATAATCATACCATGTGTTGAATTAGATATCTTTCCATCTTTTTAGGTATCGATGCTCCGAGAGTATCAGCCGTTGACGGAAGTCCATTGCCCAATGCTCGAGCGGTCACTGCAGCCGTTCACAGAGATTACAACAGACCAAGCAGAGATTTGTCAATCCTTATTATGTCATGGGGTCAGTTCATTGATCATGATCTCACTCTAGCTGCTCAACCAAGAGGTAATAAAAATGTTATGTATCTATATGTATGAATTCTGTGCGTCTAAAAGTGGTCAAACTCAGGTCTTCATAATCTGTAGATAAGCGTGATACAAATGCGCCACCTAAAAATTCTCCTGATATCATCTCGGATATTAGTTTGGTTGTGATTGTGAAAGAGGCATCATTTAGCAAAGTTTTTCAGTCGTAATAGTTCTAAAGGGGGATTGCAATATGAAAAACCTCAGTTTACACTCTAACATTCTGACAAGACTAAAAGGGTTTTAAAATTAAGTGAATAAAAACATAAAATTAAAAAAAAATATATTATTCTTTTCATAGTTACGTAACACGTTTTACGAGAAATATTTATTTTTAATGGAATAAAACTGCAAATGTTCATAAAATAGATATACTAAATATATTTATTAAATATTAAATTATATTTATATTAAATATATTTTAATTTACATCACTTAGACGTATTATTAGGAAAAATAAACATTTAAATATTAAAGAAAATATGTTTATCGCCTTTAACTACCCAAGTTGGAAATCAATAACGGATTTATTAAATTTGAGAGGTAAATTAAACATCTTATACTTTGACTAATGTTAGCATTTTGAAAATCCCATATGGGTGAGTGCGGATAGAAGATTAATAACAGATCTTATGTTCGCTCAGTAGTAACAATTACCTTTCATTAATTTCAACAAATTTGTAATTATCCATAAAATGTTTTAATTGAATAGTCAAATATATTTTAATTTATATTGATTAGGTCCGTTATTAAGAACAGTAAGGATTTAAATTATTAAGAACAGCGTTCATTAATTTTTAAATCTTTTGGTTTGTTGAGAAGTTACAGACTGATTAAGTTTAAAAAATAAATTTAAGAAGGTTATTTCTTCTAACAGTGTTACTCGTTAGTTAGCAAAATTTCTCTCTTACTCAATTATATTTGGGTTAAACGATATCATTCCTCTAAATGTGAAACACCATACCAATCATATTAAAAAACTTAAAATTGGCATGGAAAGAAACATTGCGGCATTTTAGAACGTAACCCTTTGAAAAGACGTTGCCGTTATGAATTTCACTCTCTCTTCAGCCCTTCTTTCATTTAAGCATTATCAGTGACTAATATCATGCCTGGTTTCCCTAAAACGAGAATATTTCTTCCGAATTATTAAACAATGTATACTGAAGCTACAATAGCCCGAAATGTCGTTCATGCGGTTTTAATGTCTTAAAGAGTTTAAGCTGAGATTAGTCGCCAAGCGACCAGACCTTGCTACATCGCCAAAACTGGTTGAATATTTTGCTTAGAAGTTCTCTTCAACTTTAAGCCAAGTTGGTATAAGAACCATCAATGACAGCGAAGCAGACATTGGGTCGATCGTTTCGCTGAATCAGCTACACATTTGCCAACCCACAACTGTCCTCTCCCTAAATGGCTATGTCTTAAACCCTACTAAAGAGATAAGAATGGACTTAATGATTCTTATACATCAAACTTCAAAGCTTTAAGACAACAAAAACGTCGTCATAACAAAGCCTTAATACTTTTTGACTTCTTCTGTACATAGCTAAGTATGTGTGAAGAGTAAATCATGTATTTCAATCATTAACCTTGCGTTACCTATTAATAGCGTTTTCTATGTGCCGAAATCAACCCTGCCTCATAAAAATAGATCTTTTCCTCCAGAAAAGAGCGTCAGACGGAAAAGTGACAGCTCAAATCTTCCAGATCAAGCCATAACTTCAGTTAAAGACTAAAGACGTAACTATGCAGTTAAAAAGGAGAATTTTCTGAGGAAGAAAATGACTTAAATGCTATTTGTAACCAAAGCCATAGTTCCGAAAAGAATGTCTTGTTTAGAGCCGTGGTTCTCAGTCTGTATTCCGCGGAACACTGGTGTTCCGTGATATGTGAAAAAAGTCAAAAACACAATTAAAAAACCTTGTAAAAGCAAATTCTGTATCATATAAAACTAATTTTATATGGGAGTGAAAAACAGAATCATCGAAATAAAAGTGTTAGACTTAAAAGAACCTGAAAAAAAAATTTAAAAAAAAAAAAAAAAAAAGGGTTCGATAATTAACCGGTTGGTAAAGTAAAGGGAGGTATGGAAGAATTCAATGGATAAGAATTGGTTCTGAGCATTGTGCCTATAATATTGTGCGTGCACTTCAGTCAAGCAAACATAACCTTCTCTCAGTCGGTAAACCAGCTCATTTTTTATTTTACAGTGCTATACACTGGTGTACCTGTGCAGTTCACATCACAGCTGTTAGTGTTGTTTATTTCGCTGATTTCCAGTAATCTCACTCATTCTGTATTTTTAAATTAATAAATTTACGTAAATCTTGCATGATATTATCAATTAATTTTGTATTTCTTATAAGTATTATCTTTATTCTTATATTTCTTTATTCATAATTTTTTTTCATAAGTATTATATTACTGGTTATGGATAGTTCATCATAAAAATCTCATTTTTATATCAATAATAGCAATGCCACTGCTATTAGAGTTACCAGCTAGTAGACTGAAGACTATGTAGAATAGATAAAAATTTTGTGAAAACAACTAGAAACGTCAATTGCTTGTATGACGAAACCTACTTAACATTCGTATTTATCTGTATTGGAAATACCAATTGCCCAATTCCTCTCTGTAATGTATGCAAAAATAAACTTGCGGGATGGTGATCACTAAACTAAAGTGTTAATTTTCAAATGAATATAAAAGATCTTCAACAAAGTAAATAAAACTTCCAAAGACGTTTGAAAACGCAAGGAAAATAAAGGAAAGAATTTGGAAAAAAAAAAAAAAACCCTCAATGAAAGCAAGTGATAAAACTTGTGTGGTATAAAATTGCTCGGTTTGTGGAATTAAAGTGAAAGCCACCCGCAATAGCAGATTACGTCATTTTACCCGCCTGCTGTGAAATAGGGACAGTTATGTTTGAGAAAGAAGGAAAGTTTGAAGATTCAGGTACCTGATGATATAATTCTCAGAACAATTAATGATGTGCCCTGCAACACTGACAGAACAGTCGCTAGTGAACATGTTGGCATGCTCACTGCATTTTCTGCAAGTAGATGAATTAACTGATATAAACAGAAAGGCACATTTCTTATGATTTGCCTGACCATAAATCAACCTTTATGCTGCAAAGAACTTCTAGGGTGTACAAATAATCAAAACTTAGTTGATGCGAAAATGTCGCATTTGACTAAGTTAAAATTATAATGGGATTAATGTGACGGTATTTGTACCAAAGGGCATCATCTATGATAGAATGAGTCAAAGAATATATGTCTTTAACGAAAACAGTTAACTTGAATTTGATATTTCATCACTGCACCGAGACATATTTGTCATAAAGAAAATGCCTATGAAGCTAAACGAAGCAATGGATCAAGGCGTTCCCATGGTTAAATTCATTAAGATGAGACCAACGAAAAGCCGAATTAATTTTCAAACTTTGTTTATGTGTGGAAGCAGACTGTGAATGTACATTTCGTATAGAAGTGAGGTGGCTGTCACATGGAAATATTTTAAATTGTGCGTTTCAATTAAGAAATGAATTAGTTTCGTGGTCTAGAAAAACAGCACTAAACACGTCATCATTATTTTCAACGTCATATCTTTGCGAGGCATAATATTCAACGATCGTTAATATTAAAACAAAAACAAAACAAAAAAAAAATGCGAAAGCCTGGGAAATTAAAAAAAGGCTTTAACACTTCTTTTCATCCCAGTATTAATGAAACTAGCAAAGATCACTAATCTTATGAATTGCACTAAATCTCAGAATTTTTTGAAGTATCGTAATTTTAATTTTTGCAATTTTTAAACAAATATATTTGCATTGAACATTATCGCTCTTTTATTATTTTATAAAAGTAACACATTGAAGCAGGGATGGCCAATCGCGATTTCACAATTGAAGACAAGAAAATGGAATGTAGCTTCTGCTACACCTCTCCATTTTCTTGTCTTCAATAATGGAATTATTTTTACAGGAAATATCCTTTTTTTAATTATTATGGCCTTGATTTAAAAATGTTGGCTACGCCGGTTTTAAGCTCATGGTAAGTGTTCCGCAAAAAATTAAGTCAGGGTTTAGTGACTGAACTTCAGAAAGATTGAGAACCAAGGAGGCGGCTTTTTGCTTCTGTTTATGATGATTTCACAACAGCTGCTAACCTTATTCATCTGAAGTAACTATCTTCAAGTGCAGTATATGTGCAACCAACCAATGATAACGATATAGTTTAAAAGCTGACAGATTACATTATTATGGAATTAAGAAAACGTTTTCCCTAAATTAAGTACGCTATCACGAAGTTAGATAGTTTACGCATATTGTGTGCTATGTAAACCGTCCTAACATACAAAATACACCTCTTCTGCCATATCTTTAAAAGTGTACTTTTTCCGTCATAATCATTTACCATAAACAGTATTGTATAATGTAATAACATCTTTCTGATGATTTTTATAAACGTTAATACAGTATTGTAATTATTATGAGACATTTCTAACCCGCTTATTATGTATACGTATGACAGGAAATATATACATTTATACATACATATAAATCAAATATTTTATTTTACTCTTCTATTATTGCATTTAGCTTGCATATATATTTCGTTTTCTCCGTTCCAGACGTAGATGGAAGGGAGGTGTTGTAAAGTACATTGTAAAGTACATTATTACATTTTGCTTGCATGTATATTTCGGTTTCTCCATTCCAGACGTTGATGGAAGGGAGGTCGCCTGTTGTAAGGTACATTGTAAAGTACATTATTGTATTTTGCTTGCATATATATTTCGTTTTCTCCATTCCAGACGTAGATGGAAGGGAGGTCGCCTGTTGTAAAGTACATCCGTCAATGCGCCATCCGAACTGCATGCCGATCGAAATTCCTCCAGATGATCCATTTTATTCTCAGTACGGTGTCCGGTGTATGGATTTTAAAAGAACATTAGCAGGACATATGCCCGGATGTGCCCTCGGTGAGCCGTACTTTTATGTCTGTAGACCTTTATTATATTTATATTATATATTATATAAAATAAGACAATATTCTTGAAATTGGATTTAATTTAAAAAGACGTGATCGTAAAATCACGTCCTTTTAAAACTAATATTAATATGGAAGTGTAAATTCTTCCGAATGTACGCCACTCGCGCAGATTGGCATATACATTGCATGATGTATAAACATCTTTACGATAGGGAATTTTTATGAAAGCGTCTCATGTTGTTAACTGTTTAAGGAAGTGCAATTAGTAAGTCATGTACGATAAGGCTTTGGAAGCCGTTTAAAGTTTGCGGAAATGATCTGTATGAAAAATTAACAAGTTTCTGATTTTATTTGCATGTAAAAAGTTTTGTCCCATCAATGGCAGAGTAATAAAGTCACTGAACACTGGTAGTTTGACCTGGGTTCGAATCCTGTCAAGCGGGCTAACTGTATGGGCGTTTCCGTGGTGTGTAACGTGTATGCGAGCCAGTTTCTCTCATGAAGTCCTCCACTTAGGCAGATAGTTGTAGCGTGCTATGGCAAAATCAAATAAACCAAACTAAAATAACCAAAATACTGCAGTTTGATTGGCACACCGCAAAATGGGACGTCGGTTACTTGCCATGATTCAGCTTATTATTAGTTGTGTATACTGACCTTACTTTATTGCAGTATTCACGTAAAATGCAAATAATTAGAGTTTTTTATTGTTTTTAATATCACACATCAGGTATGAGAGCTGTGTTAATTTCACATCTTTCATCTACTAGAATACATAATTATAATCTTCTGAGATAATTTTTTAAATAAATGGAATTGCACAGACATATATAAGACAAAAATATGTAAACCTGAACTATATTTTAAATTAGCAATAGGCCCTTAATTTCTCCTTTTGGTTTGGGCACTTTCCCCTCTCTGTTCTAAAAGTGGTAATAACTTTTTGAAACTGCGTCATATCCAAAAACTAATTCCGCATTATGTCATCTTTATCTTTTTCACTACGTATAGTTCTTAGTCAATCAGATGAATTAAAAATTTTACTATAAATACCGCTTCAATCCAACTACGCTGTCTCTTTGTCTGCCTACGATTTCTACCTGAAGGACGTCTCTTGCTTGGCTGCTTCTGTTAGCAAATGTAATGCGTCATCATCAAAATTGTTGGGTGCGGATTGCCCCCATTGTGCTGTGCCATTTAATAGCGTAATTCAACAATAAAGATGTAGTTGGATCAGTGCAGATTGCCTCCAATGTGCTGTGCCATTTAATAGCGTATTTTAACAATAAAGATATAGTTAGATCACCAAGTGATCCAATTATGATTGTGATTTTGTAATTCTTCAAAAGCTTCCGGCATCTTCTACTATGCAACTGATATTTTCAGTGATCTTCTAACCTTAATTCACTCGCGATTGCAAAAAGGTGTCTTCCCTAATCAAGTACTCATCTCATATCAAATTATTGCAACAAAATAGATTAGTTTATATATATATTACAAATTAAAAATTCCAAAATATATAATTATTAAATTCGCCTAATATACTGCAAATTGTCTTTTCCTTTGTTTTCCAACTATACATATTTCTCAGTTCCTAAATCGTAAATTATACCAAACTAGTTAATACAATTTTCTTATATTCATCAACTTTTGAGTAATTTACCTATTCAAAGTTTTATAGTTTCATATCATTCCAAAAGTTTTCGCTTAAAATTCAATTATTTTTAATTTTCAACCAATTCCATCTTACAAAAGGTATATAATTCCTCTCTGTTTTTTCTATTTTTTGGTTTATTCTCATATAATTTAAGCAATTTTTATTTTAGAATTTAAAAAATTTAATTTTTACAAAAACTGGACATTTTCCACTTTTCTGTACTTTTTGTATTCCGCATTTCCTGGGTTTCTTTGAAATACTTTCCATCAGTCTGTAAACTTGCAGATTATACCAAATAAGTGTTGCAAGTTCCTTTTACCTAAGAAATTTGGGTAATGTACTTAAAAAAAATTATTTCGTATCTTTTCAGAACTTGGGTGACTTACACCATTACTTTTGACTTACACCATTCGTTACTTTTGAATTCCACCATTTACATTTTGCAAAAAATGTTTAGTTCCCATTTATTTTTATGTATTTTCGCTATTTTTCGTTCCTTTTTCTTCATTCAATTCAAAAATATTTGAATTAGAATTTAAAAATTCGACCTTTACGAAATTTATTTCGTTTTTGCCTTTCGCAGTTCTTGATGGACAATTTGCCATATTATTTTTCAAGTTATTAACTATTAAAGAATTTTTTACTTTAGAATCTGATTTTATATTCGCTAGGTTTTGATATTGTTTAGTTAATTTCGATTAACATCGGAGAAGATTGTATCTTGATGATTAAATTCCAGCCAAAAAGATTTAGTTTTCAGTATAAGTTTCTTTCTGGAATTTTTAATTTTTTTCAATTACACCAAATTAATTTACACCAAATTAATTAATTAATTTAAATTACTACATTTTTATTTATTATTAGTCCAAAGGGATTTGAATCCCGAAGGACTATTAGTTTCGTTTTGGCATTTTGCATCGGACTCATAAATGTCGGTTCACTTTTCAAACTGTTGCCACAAAATGTTAGAGTCCTGCATTATATTTGAAGAAATTAAATAATGAAAAATCTGCATAAATGTATGTATATTTTCTCGTATTGTGGTAAACAACAACGGTACATAGAGTCATCGAATTTTGAATAACGTAATCCTCCAACGAATATGAGCATGTGGAAGACCAAATTTGAAATTTGAAATTTGTTTTATGATCGATTTCCTATTTTTTAAAACTTTGACGAATTTTTGATTAACAAACTCAAGGATTTCAAAGCGAGCAATGGCAACGTTGTGCAGAAAAAACATTTTTATCTCCAGCGCGTGAGTCTCTGTATCGGAAATTCTAAAGATATGCTCGTTTTAAAACTATTTTGCGATATTGCTGTTGCACTGGATCTTATGGTTTAAGTGCGAGGAACATGATATTTAATAAAGAAAGGTAACACACAAAATGTTAAAAAAACGCCCCTTTGGACGTAATTTAAAATCTGAAACATTTCAGATTTTTTTTGATTTAGTTTTATGTATTAATTTTGATAATCATTCAGATATAATTCAAAAACGTGGCATTGTTAAAATTTTTCCGCTGCTGCTTGAAAAAGACCACAGATTTTTCGACTACTATTTATTATTTAGTTTTATGTTTGTATGGTTTTACTGTTTTGTTCTAGTTTTCACTTTTCATTTTGTTTTTCTATTAATAGAAAAAATTATTTTGTTTGCCACTTTTGAAATAATTATTTTTAATAAATTATTTCTTAATTATATATACATAATCAATGTTATGCATATAAGTGGTATGTGTTTTGATTTTTAACAGAACTATTGATTTAAGTAGTAAAAGTGAGGTATTTTTAACTGTCAAAGATGATAGAAAGGTTTTTGAAAGAATCCTTGGCGCAAAAAGGAGACAGATTTTTAATAATGTCCCCCGATGAGACTATTGAAGAAATTTCTGGCTGTTGCATTAGTGTTTTCATTTTTTCAGATATTCGCCTGGTAATAGACATTTTTACCAGCATATAGTACTTTTCAATTACATTTAGTACTTTTGAGTTGCATTTCAATTGCCACATTTTTCACATTATATTTATCTTTTTATTCAACGTTATTGAAGGGTGGTAATTTTATAAGGTTGAACGTCTTTGACTATTGTAAAATAGGGCTTTTAAAAGACTCTAAAGGACTTATTGCTAAGAGAGTAACTACAGAAACTTTCGAAGGATGTAAAAGACACCTTTATTTTATACTCAGTAGATGAACAGAAGACATTCTTGGTGCTTACATAATCCGCCAGCACTTATGGCGAGAAACTCAAAATAGAAATTCAAATATAGAACTAAATTTGAACAGATGATAACCAAAGGCTACACAGAGAAATTTAATCGCAAATATGCTAGACTTCAACGATGTGAATTTAAGCTATCGGCGAGAAGCGACGCCAAAGGCATGACTCTTATCTAGAATAGCAAACCTAGTAAGCCGGCAGAACACACTTTAACTTAACAATATCAAACCCTCACGCGAGCTAATTGCATTCTGGCTGGACAACGGAAAAGAAGTGACAGTAAAGATTTCAAACATAAAATAACTGTTATGTAAATTAAATAAACCCTTACAATTAATTTACTTAAACTACATTATTTTCATAATATTAGCAGCCTTATCGCTGGAATTTTATTTTGTAAATTCTTAATTGTATTCTTTATGTTTTATGTCTCTCTTTCTCTCTCTCTCTATATATATACATATATTTAAAAATACCATTGATTTAAATAGTAAATTAAGTAGTTTTAGTTTATTTTCCTCTTATATTAACTTTACAGGATTTGTTCCTTACTGAATGTACAATCAATAAACAATTAAATACATTTTATTAATATTTATTGTGTAGTCAGCGGAATTTTGATTATGTGGATCGGTTACCAAGCATGTTCGACTGTCGACCTCTTTAACATCAGTGATCCCTTTAAAATTCTATCTACCTGCGGGTAGTCAATACCGGTACCATTGTTAAACCCTGGTTTATACAATAATATCTTAATCTCAAAGCTACGACACTTGGGTGTTACATGCTGCATTTAAATTGTCCAAGCAAGTTGCAATGGCACACCAATTAATTGCCGATATCCCCTTAAAATTACAGCAGGAAAGTTTTAGCCAACAAATTTATGAGGCGCAAGCTCTAGTCTTATGGCTGAGATTAAACTCCTACTTTAAACTATGAAGCTTGTCATTAAAATGCATAAATTTTATGGTCTAAGAGAGTACTGAGACAAGAGACAAAAGAATAGAATAGAGTTTAGCTCAAAGCTAACTCTTAGGACTAATTGTCACAACTTGACGACTTGCGTTTATGACTAAATGGTTATGGGTTTGATCATTGATTTGAGTTGATTATAAGATAAATGTTACTGTTTTAGCGATCAATGTTCTAGGGACAAATGTAGAAATTAAAGGCCTGCAAATGCAGCTTCCAGGTATTTAAAAGTTTAATCCTGTACTCAAAAGATGAAGAAATCTTTGGTCGTTTATTCAGCCTGGTTTAAAGCTAAAACTTTAGCTGAATTTAAAGTAGCTGTTCTCTCGCTTGTGTTCCGAATTTGATGTTTTGGATGCTAAAATTTTACAAAATTTTAATAATTTATATTTAAATTTAATTATTTTTAATTGTTTAATTGTTATTAAAAACGAACAAGTTTATAATTTATAAAGGTAAGATCTTTAATTATTTTTTTTTCCTTTAAAACATCCCCTGTAAGGCTTATTTAAAATTACCTGTTTAAAAGATTTTAAATACTGCTTAATTATTTATGGAAATTGCATTGCATCAGCAGAAATTTCTTTATGGGCAGCAAATGTTATTTTGTATCGGGCATATGAACATAAATATAAGTTTATTTCATTCTTAAGAACCTATAAATAACTTTTTTATACTTTCACAAGAGTCTATAAGCAAGGATAAACGTCTTGGATATCACATAATTGTGTAGAGAGAATAAAAGAAAGTAACATGGAAGGTTTTCACCAATTTAGCTGCAAAATTAGATTTAATTATTTTATGATAGAGCGAGGATACAGTCAGACGTGTGGAATTACAATAAGAAAAATTGATGTTGCAAATTCTAATTTAAAAGCAATAAAATAAGGATTTATATTTAAAATATTAATATTTTTGTTAGGTTATGAACGGTAAACAATAAACTTACTGAGCATTTAGAGTTTATTTCGGCCGTAAAAGGCCGTAATCTGGACTTATCTCTATATTTTATATATTACAGATATACAGTTTTTCATTTCCAATTGAACAGTTTTTTTCCTCTTCCTAAAAAGCGATTTTGAAAGCGATATAGAATGTAAAGTGAGCAACAGCGACATTATTATAACCCTTGTTGTTCCGATACATTTTCTGAAATTGTACAAAATAACGCTAGTTATAATTTTTGCGAAATGTGTTTATGAAGTATTGTCCCCTTTCTTGATTTAGCAGTTTTATATGTTTTAAACATAATAATATTTAATATGTTTTAAACATAATAATCACATTTAATATGTGATTAATTTTAGATTTAGATAAAAAAGCACTATTATACTGGCTTAAGTTTCGAATAAAAATCTATCAATTTCGAGCTCGATCAGGCACATGTCCTTTTTAAGGAACAAAAATATTATTGCATTGTACATTCCCGTGTTCCAAATTTGATGAAGTAAAGTGAGAAAACTTTTTTTTCTTTTAAAGAGTAGTCCTCGAAATCAGTAGAGTTTTATTCAAAATCTACTCCATAGTAAAGTTGCTTTTTTGGATAATTTTAAGATTTACACTGGTGCATTTCTCTTCTATTTTGATGTGGTTATTTATATCCATTCAACTAAAACGTCATTTAGTATAGATTCAAAATTAATTGCATTATTTTAAATAATTATTTTGAAATGCGTAAGCACTGAATGCAAAATTTAACAAATAGTTTAAGTATATTAAAAAAGGCATATTTATATGTATCATTACAGGCTGAGTATCAATATTAGTTTCAGAAAATTAAGAAAAATAAGCATGAGACAGTTTCATAGAAGTTCCTTCCACCACCTGTTGAGAATAAACCTCCTTACAAAATGATAATTGTTTCACTTTTGTTTGCGTCTGAAGACCGCGCACAATGCTTAGCCATTAAAAATACAAAACCTATTTTAAGAACTTTTTCATGCCAGTATTCCAAAGTCCTTTCCCACTTTGTCTTTCAGGTCCTCGAGTACATATCAACTTGCTGACGTCCCCCATCGATGCTAATTTCATCTATGGATCCACAGACACAGAGGCTCGTAAACTTAGGTTGGGTACAGGAGGTAAGTTAATCCTTTGAAGCTAGCGTGATTTGAAATGCATTGGTTTGTTTTATGAAACAAATGAATGTTATGCCAATTTTATGTAAAAGAAGATAGATCAATTTGGTACCTGTTAAGAGCTATCAAATATTTAAAAATTATTCTCAGGTATTAAAAATGCATCCGTCGTCTTCATTAAACACTGGAACACATGTAGTATTTTAAGTACAGTAACCTTTTAGTTCAGGCGCCTCTTGTAGAGTCATTAGGTTTTTTTGAAGCAGGAGATGTGAAAAAGGGCAACGTTCTCGCCGGGACTCGAACGTAGACCTCTCGATTACGCGCTGAGTGTGCAACCGTTACATCATGAAGGCATGCCTAAAGAAGGGAAAAATACCTTATAATTACTTCTTCGTTTCTTATAACTGACAGAGAACTTAGTCATGTCTTTGAAAGCACCTGACCTGTCACTCATCATTAATGCAGCTCCTATTTCGGTAATTTTTCCTTGGTCAGTTACGTCACATTTTAATAAATTAAAATGTGTTAAATTAATGCAGATAAATGAAACAAATCTCGTCTAAATAGTTTTCTTGAGATAATGATATTCTATTAATGAACTGCTGACATCATCAATTGAATATATTGATGATGTCAGCAGTTCATTATAATATATATTTTATATGAAATGCTATATTTTATATGAAATTTGGAAAAAACAACTTTTGATTTGCGTAGATTTTGAATAAAGTTCATTCGATTTCGAGAGCCATCACACAGATTTCTCTTGTTCAGGAGCAGAAAATTTACTCAAATTGTCTTTGAGAAAACTTCCTTTTTTTAACTCGGAGATAAGGAGATCATATGATTTCCTTCTCGATATCAATTGTATTTTATTGAAAATATAAGGCTACGGTTACTTTTTTGTCGAATTTCAAGTTTGACATTGGCGTGTTTCTTTCGAAGCTCTTCCAATTTCTAAGTATATCTAGCTAGTTTATTTTAAATTTTGTTGTCCTGTGCTTCACTTAATCTCAGTCCTACATAGATGTACATAAGTAAATTTAGTAAATATTTAGGAAGGTATAAAAGACTAGAGGCATAGTAGCCAGAAGCGTGTTTGGCCTCTGACTGATGTTTATGTGACGCATTCTGACTCTGTTCTGTATGCCAATGAATTGAAAACGTAAAAAAAAGCAGATAAGGTTACATCACTGCAATAGTGGTGATGTTTTTAAATTCTTTAAGTGTAAAACCAGATTAGAGTGAGAGCTTTGGTTTAGTAAGCAATTATTTTAGCGAAGTAACAAGAGAGTTAAACATCTTGAAGTTGTAGTTTATACCGTGTGAATTGCTAGGAAAACCACAAGCTGTAGTTTAGTTCCCTATTTTTACAAGATGTAGAATTAATTAATCCTTAAATTTGGTTTCAACTGTCCTTTCCTTACTTTGATGTTGCGACTTGCGTGTCTGAATGCAACAGCATCCAGATTGTTAGCGTAGTGGATTAGTAAATAAAATGCAATTCAGGAATAGCTAACACTTTAAAAGAATAATTATGCTGGACTGAATGTCAGTGAATTTGAATCTTAAGTCTAAAGGTTATAAGGTATTTTCTCCCTCCTTTCTGCATGCCTTCGTTGTGTAACAATAGCACATTCGGCGCATAATCGAGAGGTCCAGGCTCGAGTCCCGGCGAAGGCATTGCTCATTTTTCTCTTTTCCTGCTTCAGTTTTTAATAATCTGTACCAAAATTATAAGGCATATTCAGTGGACATCTTATGATTTATCAATCGACTATCGCTTCTTTAACTTGAATCCATATCGACCAATTTATACATGATTGGACAATAGTTGAAATATTAGAACTCATCTTGGATTACAGTTGGTTCTAGCTGCAAAAGGAAATTCAAGCAATAATGCATTATAAATAGCTATGCTGATTATTGAATTTATGAAAAATGTATATATGTAATATTTCAATAGAGCTGATCATGGGTTAAAATTTCTAAGTGTATCTACCGAATATCTAAAAATTACTAATAATGGCTTTATTATATTGAGTCATTAATACTAGATAATAAAGTTCAATTAAGAGATTTTGTTAAATGTTGTTTAGAAATAAATTTAATCTTTTTCAGAACTAAGGAAAATATGAAATTGCCAATGCAGAAAGCGGGATTTTATGCAATCCTTATAACTAAAAAAGCTTAAAAATTCAAAAAATCTACAAAACGTCTTGCTTTTAAAAAAGAAAAAAAAACTGTAAAATTTGTAAAGCTAATATTCTTCATAAATAATTACTAAAATCTGGTAATTGTGTGAAACATGTAAGTAGAGTTCTGACAGCAAAAGGCACTATGCCAAAACTACTAATGTGCAGAATAATTGTTTCAGGAAAAATAAATGTTTTAAAACAGACAATTTTGATACGATGGAAAAAATTAGCTAGGATTCCTGAACAAGAATTTTCTTATGAACACCTCAAGAAATTTTTTTTTCTTTTTGGAAAATGTTAAACGTGCAGGCAAAAGTAGACAAAAATCGATTTCGTAGTTTTAACAATATAAAGATTCTGATTTAAGTAGAATATTTAATCAGATTACTTAACTGAAAAAAGGCTAGACAGTAAGTTTAAAGCTGATTTTTTTTGTTATCTCGTCCTTAAATAATGAATCAATGACTAACTGAACTGCAATATCGAAATTTGTATACTATCTCTGTATTTGTCCGATATTTCTCTTACGGACAATCCTAATTCCTGTAAACCCTGTAACTCATGTAGTTCCTTAATATTCATCATGAAGTTTTTCTGTCTCTCTTTTCTGATATTCTTTACTTACCCAATTTTTTTTCAGGTTTGATGCGGTCATGGAACAAATTTGGACGTTTGGGACTCAAAGATCTGTTGCCTCCTTCTGTAGAACATCCAGAGAAGGATTGCATAGCCAGACCGAGGAACTTGTTTTGTTTCTTAGCAGGTGAGTTTCCTTTCATTAGATAGTAATGATGCTATCTGAATGGAAAATATACTCTCTCAACATTTCATCGAAAGCAAAATTTTAACGAACCTTTTCTTCCAGTAATTTTACATATTTAGGTACCCTGATACTTCATTCCTTCTGATTGGTTATTATATGGGTTTAATGTTTATGGAGGTATTGCAACTAGGATCTCTGTAAAAATTATGAATACAAGCTAGGCCTATTATAGCTATTATAGCTTAAAATAATCCATTCGAGATTTTCATGCTTAATTTTCATTCATTATTAACCTTCCAGAAAAAACACATAACTGTACAAAGTGTCACAAAAACATGGCTACAAGTTTAATGTCTTCATTGATCTTAGGCCTGTACCTGCAAAAACAATCATTAGACATACAGAGTATATGATTATTTACTAATATAATACTAGATATAAAATTTATAACTCTTTATTTATTGCTTGCAGAGTAAACATTCTAATGTTTTAATAAGTTAAGTCATGTTTATCATGATTTAGCTTTTATGTTTTCATTTTCATGATAAACTTGTGTCATATTTTAATAAATAAAAATGGTTCTTGGCCTTTAGTTTTAAAATTGTCTGAAACATGCAAAATTGTTTATGTCATAAGGATAATTAAAATTTGAATAAAGCGTGCAGTATTATCTTGCTTAAGACTGTTAATATAAAAATGTCTAGCAATATGGTTTCGTAGTTTTTTCCTAAATATGTTCAAGAGTTTTCCAATTTTACTCGCTAATAAGCATTACAAAATAATCTTATTCCGTAAATTTATTTACGACTATCTGAGTGATTCATGTAAATGTATTGTATTTGACTTAAGTGATAAATAATAGTTTTGGTCCCCAGGGATTATTTGAAACATAAGATTTTTATTTGCACCTCTCCCTTATAATATTGAAACTGTTTTTACAAAGCCTTCTGCCTTATTTTGGTGATTTTTTGCAACTGGGAATACATGTTTTGAAACAAAATTTAAAGAAAGGATGCCGCAGTCATCGACACGCCGAACATTCCTCGTAAAATAGCAGAAAGGGAATTCGTAGCATATTTTAACCGTTAAAGCGTAAGCCAGATCTAGAAAAACATCATCCGACAATTTTCTGCCATAAAACCAGACATCAATTTTAATACAGTTTTGACCTGCATCTAAGCGAGATACAAACTGAGATTGCTTATATATGCTGCTGCAAATGTACGTAAGTAGAATACGCGCAAAAACGATCGTCGTATTTTGAATAAAGTAAAATACTACATTTTGTATTTTTACTTACTTTATTGCAGAGAGTGTGACATAAAAAAATTTAAAGCTTTGAATTAAGCTGTTAAACGGAAAACTAAATTCGCAAAGAAAAGTACCACTCATCCTACTGTGCATTTAAAGGATCTACAGAAAACGAATTTTATTTTAGATTGATTTTTTTAAATGAAAACTTAAAGGTATTTTTGGATGAAAACAAGCAGTTTTAGAGAGGCAGTCTTTTAATTTATCTCTCTGAATTCCGTTCTTTGAAATTAATGACGAAGCAAAGATTGAATTTTTCTAGTTTTTGATTTAACAGCTAGTTCCCAGTATCGTGTAGGATTATGGGAGCTTAACTTAAACGTTAATGGGATTTAAAATGTTTTTGTTGAAGTACTAGGTGAAGTTGTGAGACATAAATAAGCTGTTAGGAAGAAGTATTTCTCTTTCCATTATTTTAATGGAAGTGCAAAAAAATAAAAAAACTCGCTTTATTGTAAATCTCTTGCACGTTTTGTCTGTCAGTTATAAATTTTCCGATAAACGCGATAATTGTAATTTTAAATCTTTCAGGTGATGAAAGGGTGAACGAACAGATCCATCTGACAGTCCTTCACACTCTGTACGTCCGTGACCATAATCGAATGGCCCGAGAACTTGCTTTCCTCAATCCACACTGGGATGACGAGAAGATATACCATGAGACTAGGCACATAATGGCCGCTGCTGTTCAGCATATTACTTACAATGAGTTCCTACCTGTCATCCTGGGACGCGAATACATGGAGAAAAACAATCTTACTCTCCTTAAAGAGGTAAAGTATATAATAAGTAACTATTACAAATGTTAAGCATACATTACATAGAAATACATATGAGCTGCACCGATCAGGTTATTTGGCAAGCATAGCGTTCGATCTATAATGCAGATATGAAACTATTGAAAATAGCTTGAAGATTTGGTGTACATCAATATCAAACTATTACATTATAAAACTATGGCATTTGTAGGGTTATGAATAAATCAAAGAAATATTACCTTTGTTATGACCCTTCTAGAATAAAATTTTAAATTATTGAAGAAAAATTTTTTAAATGTCCTAATGTTTTAAAACAGAACTTTCAAATTTTCCACAATTAACTAAATCTCTGTTCTTACTGTGTTAATATGATTTCAAAATTAATAATATCATTTGTATGAACAGATATATATACAAGTGGAAGTAAAAGCTTATTTCTTAATGAAATCATTTAGGAAAAGAAATAATGCTTAGCTGACTTATTGGCACGGATGTGCTGACAATGTGTTTTAGATTAAAAAGAAAAATTTAAAGTGTTCCTGTGTCATAATCTGTTAATAAAATCATGAAGCCGTGTTATAAAATATCATCAAATAAAATTTTCTTCCTTAGGAAAACAAGAGAAAATTAGTTGACGTTAAACACGTAGTCGGCTATATTTCTGTACAAATAAAGCATCTGGCGATAGCTATTGCTAACCTCTTACATGCTAAGTACACTTATGAACTTTTACTAATAATATGTTTCCAGTTAGAAAGAAAGTAGGTGCTTGTAAAATGTAATATAAGTTTATATTAACAGATAGCAATACTATGCAGTGCAGAGGTAAGATTCAAGAATTTGTCTGTTTTAATTTGTAAAATTTATCTGTTTTATTTTGCCTAACCTTTACTTGTTTCGACTGATTATCGTCTTTGCAAGGTACTAATATCTAATTTATTTTTAGTAATACACAAGAAGAGAAACTTGATATGTTCATTAGTTAAAACTCATAGTCAAATAGTAAGCAGGTAAAAAACTGGTAAACTGATAAATAGGTAAAAAAAGTGCACTGGGCACCAGAAACCTTTACTACAGAATCGAACAGGCATAGCCCAATCCATAATCTGCTAGAGAATGAAAAACGGGAATTTACTGTATGTGCTTTTTCTTCTAAGGAATGCTGGAGTTATACATTAGAGTTGTTAGATTTAAACATAAGAAGATACTATAAAATTATGCGAAGTCACATAATATAACACAAACTAATGCGTATACTCATTACAATATTGCATAAATGAACAATAGAGCTAATATTTTGGAGATCGTTGCACTGAAATTTTTGCTTTTTATGTAGGTAGATAAACATATGGGATTTGATTCTGCGAATACATTTTAATGTCTGATTCTTGTTATGTGAGGATAAGTATTGCAAAGAATCTAGGCTATTCCCCAAAGAGAAGGGATGCCTTTGTGGACGACTTTCTAAGAGAAACTTTCGTGGAGGTAACCACGAAAACGTGCATGCAGCGAGCTCGTTTAATTTTTTTCAGATATAATAAGATTTTTTTAGATATAATAAGATTGATAAATGACGCTTATTATATATTAATGTACTAACTTCAGTTGTAAATGAGCTCAGAACTCACTGGAATCTTCAGTAAAAATGGTCTTTATATAAAATTTATTCTACTGAAGAAACATATAATAACTTGCTGTTTCAAGAAGGTGACAATGTAAAGCAAGGAGCTTCTGTGCAGAACTAACGCCAAAATAAGATAGAATTTCTCCTAATTTTAAAATTCCTAATACTGCTCTTATATTTTCTCTTACATGGAAGTTTCTTTGGAAACGACAGTACTTATATTTTTCTGATGATAAAACATTATTTACTATTTTAAATTTGCTTATTTGCCGTTGCCTCCTATTATCACTATGTTTTCAAATATTTATTTCTCTTATTGTATGACACAGATTTAACAAATTATTTTCATTTTATATTACTTAAATACCATTCACAAATATTGTTTTCTGTTATAGTTAATCAATACTGTTTTACTTTCGTAATTTCCTGTTTACATCAATTTACAATTTATTATGATTCGTCAATGTGAAAAAATACAATTTTAAAAGGTAGCGTGCCGGAAAGGATTAAGAAAGCTTGAACACAAAGAAACGTTTAAAAAAGATGCTATCAAGCAAGAATAGCCAACCGATTAATATTAAAAAGTGCACGGAGCAATGAGCAAGCATTCGTACACAAAATGAGAATGTATTCAACTGTCTTTACAGTGTTTACTATCATACTGACTTGCTTTCCTTACAAAAAGTGTACCTTTTAACTTGTTCTGACTTGAATATAATTTGACGTGAATATAGTTTGTTTAATTAAATTTTTCTGACATCCTACGGAACTGTGATTAGGTGGAAGAATTCTTTGTACAGTTTACGGTTTGTTTTATTGAGTATTACAAATTTTCGTTCGAAGTAAAAATTTTAGAATATATTCCAACTATTAAACATTTTCTTGCAAATTCTCTGAAGTTTAGAATTTAAAAAAATCTAGTAGACTCTTCTCTTTGCTAAAAATCGCTTTACATGATTTCACTTTTATGAAAGACTTCATTAGAATTATCATAGTTATCATTAGAATTATCAGAATTATTTCATATAAAAGAACATGAAAGGAAAAAACGGCATTATCTAGTTATTGAAAAATGTACACTTTTAATTCTGAAAAGGCAACTATAAAAGCAGATTTACAAAATGCTTTGAGTGCTTACAAAGAATTATATAACAGAAAAAGAAGCCTACAGTGTTTTAAAGTATAAAGAATTTTTAATGACTGCATTTGATTGCTTAAAAACTTACTCTAACATATTGTGCTAATATGCAACTCTGCGTAACATATTGTGTTAGAAATATCTTTTATCAGTCCTAGTAATGCTGCAGTCAGTCATGAAACTATCATTTGGATACATCATAAATTAAATGCAATTTAAATTGTATCAGTTAGGTAATTGATTAGAAAATAAAATGAACATTTAAATTACTAAGATTGTTTTATCATTTTTAAATCTCAGAGTCTTCTAGATGACAGATTGGTTAAATTTGAAATACATGATAAGTCTTTTATGCTTTTCCGAAAGGCAACACTCTGAGACCTGACTTATCTGCGAAGGTGCCTGGTATATAAAGTCAAGATATTGCGTTTTGCTCAATGGAAATGCTTCCGAAATAGCATAAATGATGAACCCTGGCAACATGATACAATATAATGGTTCAAAACATTTAAATGGTTCAAAACATTTAGCTGAATATGTATCTGCCATTAAAATCATATCAAACATATTTCAAGTTAAAAGGTATTTTCTCCGTCCTTACTTCATACATTCGTGGTGTAACAGTAGCACATTCGGCGCGTATTTGAGAGGTCCACGTTCGAGTCCCGGCGAAATCATTACTGTTCAAAGTATTCCAAATCTTTGGCAGCAAATCACACACCATGAGTTTCAACATCAAAACCAATCAAAAGAAAGAAGTAAATTATCAACGTCTCTTTTAACCCACAGCCTTCAGTTAGTGGTATCTAGATTGTTAAAAATATACGCTGTATATATTTTTCCTATTTTGTGTAAATTATAAAATGATGATCCTTATTCATACATTTATTAGAGTTACTTTAGGTTTCGTGTGTTATTTGGAACGATTTGGTAATTGATTTTTAAGGCAAGAAACTCTAAAAAATGATTTTATTACAAATTAAGGGTTTTGCATCTTTGCTTTATACCATCAAGGTTTAAATAAAGTTCATAGTTCATTTTTTGAACTTTTATCTTAATAAACTATTAAGATACTGTTGCGTGTGTACGGGTTCGTTATGAAATGAATGCACAAGTCCGATGAAAAATGAACAAAAAAAAATTTATTATTATCACAACAAAAATGCTTAAATTTTCTCAAATTATCATGCAGTATTACAATATCTCACAGTAGTTATCTTCTAACTACTCAAATGTCCAATAGAACGTAATTAAAAACAGCTAAAGAACGCTAATCTGCGAATTCGCTACAATCAACAAGATCAGTTTTCTAAACAACAACAATCTAAGCAACAACTACAAACTGAGATGTTTACCTCCTTTTATAAGATTTTAAAATCACGCGCTAGAATTTTCCAGTACTTTCTCGAAATAAAAAAGAGATATTTATTTATTTAATGCACGCGCTCTTGTATTTTCAATTTTCTGGCTTAGCTTTCTTTTAATATTCGTCACGCGCTGCACTGCGCGATAAATAAAACCATTTAATTTATAATTGAACTAACATTAGCTTTTTAAATACCAAATTCGTAACACTGCCCCCTTCCTAAGGACTGCGCGTCCCGGGCAGTACAATCCCTGGACAGGAAGCTAAACTTACAACTGTGGCATAAATGCATTAATAAGCATTACATTACAATAATGAACAACATGAACAATAAATGCAATAAATAAAACAAATCAAATGCTATCAAATACAAATCAAATACTAAATGCAAATCAAATACTAAATACAAATCAAATCAAATACACATTTAAAAACAAAATGGATCATGGTCTTATACAAATGGTCTATTTATACAATTATTTACATTATGTACTATGGCCATAGTAATGAGGTAACCTGTCGTAATGAACGACTTTAGGTTTAGAGTTCGAAGACTTACGAATCCGAACCACGACATCATTCAGCCTGTTTAGGACTGTGTAGGGGCCATCCCAAGGTGACTATAATTTCGGACAAAGTCCTTTCCGTCGAGTCGGATTCCACAACCACACCTTGTCTCCTTCGTGGAATTGATGTTCAGTAGCTCTTGTGTCATATCGGGTCTTCATCTTCTCCGTCGCCAAGTTGACTCGCTCTCGTGCAAAATTGTGCATCACTTCAAACCGGGCCTGGAGATCTTGAATATATTCCTCAGACGATGAAGGAGCATCCGGAGGGCGGCCAAACAATAGATCACAAGGCAGACGAAGGTCACGACCGAAGAGCAT